ACATACACATACACATACACATACACATACACATACACATACACATACACATACACATACCCATACACATGTACATGTACATATACATATACATATACATATGCATATACACATACATATACATATACTGACATATACATATACACATACATACACATACACATACACATACACATACACATAACCATACACATCCGCACATACACATGCATATATATATGCATATGTATGTGTATATATACAGATAGATATATAAGTGTATATATATATGCGTACATACACATATACCTGTACATTTACACATACACACATACATATAACATATACACCTAGACATATACATACACACATACTCTTTCTGTACAAGAGCTATGCATGGCTCTGCCATGGCCCACCTCGCAGACTTCTGGCACCTCGCAGGCCCAGCTTGGGAAGGAGAGCACGGCGGCACCTTGGGAGTTAGGGCTTAGGGCTTTGGGGGTGATTATTTAGGGTTTAGGGTTTAGGGTTATTATTTAGGGTTTAGGGTTTAGGGTTATTATTTAGGGTTTAGGGTTTAGGGTTATTATTTAGGGTTTAGGGTTTAGTGTTATTATTTAGGGTTTAGGGTTTAGGGTTATCATTTAGGGTTTAGGGTTTAGTGTTATTATTTAGGGTTTAGGGTTTAGGGTTACTATTTAGGGTTTAGGGTTATTATTTAGGGTTTAGGGTTTAGGGTTATTATTTAGGGTTTAGGGTTTAGGGTTATTATTTAGGGTTTAGGGCTTAGGGTTATTATTTAGGGTTTAGGGTTTAGGGTTATTATTTAGGGTTTAGGGTTTAGGGTTATTATTTAGGGTTTAGGGTTTAGGGTTATCATTTAGGGTTTAGTGTTATTATTTAGGGTTTAGGGTTTAGGGTTACTATTTAGGGTTTAGGGTTTAGGGTTATTATTTAGGGTTTAGGGTTTAGGGTTATTATTTAGGGTTTAGGGTTTAGGGTTACTATTTAGGGTTTAGGGTTTAGGGTTTTGGGTTATAATTTAGGCTTTTGAGAGTAGGGAGTTAGGATTTGGGGGACCCTTGGTGATGTTTTTCTCAAGAGGGTCCCTTTCTTGGGAGCCAGAAGCAGGGTTAAGAAGGGTCCCTTCAACAGGTCTTTCTAATACTACCTAGGGCACCTCGCTGAAGCCCAGAGACCCCAAAGATGCCCCTTAAGCAATGGTTTAGGGCTCAGGGCTTAGGGAAGATTCCTACAGTTCACAGGGGCGGCAATATTTTGATATTGGGCATGATTCAGGGGTAATTACATTCCTTCGTTGAAGGGTATTGGAGTTTGCGGAAGCCCCATTGGCATCTCAAACTCGACCCCCTCGCTCCTCGGACCTCGGCTGTCGTAGTGGATCACGGCTCCGCCGCCCGTGCTGCCAGTTCCCGCCGACACCACCGCTGTTGGCGCGGCTGTGCCGAAAAAGAGCGGGGCATACTGCACTGCATAACAGATCTCGGGAAAGTCGGCCTGCGAGACACAGTGCCATTGCTGGAGGCGGGAAAAGGTTCTACCAGGATCACCGGGTTGAAGCAAGCTGACAACACGCCTAAATGCAGCATGCAGCCACGCCTGCACCATCCGCACTTCACCAATGATTCCTCGACTGCCGAACCACATGCAGCCCAGCCCTGCTCAAGCACAAAGAGCCCCATCATTACCCCCTTGTCCCCTTGAAAGAAAGGAAAAAGACAGTAGCATTGCAGCAGCAGTAGTGCCTTAAGGACCCTGCACTATGGGAACTATAGTACATTCCTTGTTTTGGGTAATGCAGGATCTAGATCATCAACCGTATGATTATTGATGACAACTTAAGGGCATTTGGCTCTTTTTTGACACTCTTTGCAGGTCCAGGGGCCTAGTTCGATGGCTGTGCGAGCATGTTCCACCGCTGGGAAGTAGCGCGTCCACATTCCTTGTTCGGGTTTAGGGTTTAGGGTTTAGGGTTCGGGACGGAGGGGACATAATCTTAAACCCTCCCTAAACCCTAAACCCTAAACCCTCTGAACCCGAAAATGTCAAGGACAAAGCGCTCTGTGTCAGCCAGGAGTCCTTCGATTAGAGCGACACCTTTGGCCTCAAGGAGCACCAAGAAGCAACAGTATGCCCCACTGTAAGTCCCCCTGAACGCCTATTCTAATTTATGAAAAGTGTACCGTATTTCCGTGCAATCCCCGACATGACTAAACTACGAGTTGCCCTGAAACCCTGCTCAGTTCTATTTATGAATACTGTGTCAAGCCCATCAGGGTGGTCCGCTGAAATTAAATGGGCCCTGGTTGGGTCCCCAAAAATAGTACGGCACCCTTGTAAAATGGACCCTAGAGGGACCCTTATCTAGAGAGCTACCCGCGAAGACACCTCGGCTGCTTTGTAGAGCTCTTCCGCATCCGCTGCAGTCGTGGCCAAAGGCTTCTCGCAAAGCACCTGAAACTTTTCAGGTTCCGGCCCAGGTCATAACATTCATGTAATAGTATGGCATATTGTGGTCTATTGTGGCATAGTACAGTGCATTATAATATTTTGTGAAATGTTATGATATAGTATGGTATGTTACAGTATATTATAGCATATTATATAATATATCCGGTAAACTATAGAGCCACGCAGGGCAAGTTGAAGCGGCCAGAAATTACAAAAGAAGCTAAGGGAGACCGGCAGAGAAGCAAAGAAGAGGCCAGTCCATGACAGTTTTTGGCAGTAGCTTATATAATACAATTTTTAATCAGGGTAAATATGTCGCGAATTATGGTAAATTATAGCAAACTGTTGTATATAGCAAAATTATTGCAAGCTGCAGCATGGTACAGCACATGATACTGCATTCTAGTAGGCCAGACGGCCGTGGAGCCCACGGGTTCAGCTTCGCAGATCTTTGATGTTCCGACAGACCCGGGCCGGTAGGAGCTCTGGAATACTATAAAAGCTTTAAAATTCGGTAAAATATCATCGACTCTACCAGAACATTGTTGTACGATAATATACGACAATTTACTATAAAGGTAGCACGAGTGCTTTCAGGTCCACTCTCGAAGAGAAGGACGAGCCGCGTGCTTGCCAGCAGAAATCGCCATCAGCACCTGCTCCTGCACGGCTGGAGACTCTTTGAAAGATCAAGCTCAGAATGGCTCAGAATAACACTGTGCTAGAAATCACACCATGCTCTGTCCAAAAGATCGCCACAGTGCACTGGCCTTGTGCAGAGGGGTGATTGTGCCGATGTACACGATGTCCACATCAGGAGAGTTCACAAGTGCTTGGTAGTCTGATGCCACCTGCTCCACACCGTGGCTTGCGGCAAACCTCAGCAAAGCATGGGCTACATAGGGCCATAGGCTTTTAGGGTTTAGGGTTTAGAGCTTGGGAATCATCGCTACCGAGTCGCTTTCCTGCTTTCTCGGCATCCCTCGCCGCGCAAGACTGCAGTACAGCTCCAGGTACCTCCTGTCGACGGCTGGGAAGACTGCGGAGAAATATCATATAATCAATATATTATCATATACTATCACATACGATCACATACTATCAGTTACTATCATATACTATCATACACCATAATGTACTAGACTGTACTTTAAAGTACCATAATGTACTATAACAAAAACTATAATATACTACAATGTACTCTTACTTCCCGGCTTCTCCCTGCCTGCCTTGAGGCACTTGCACCAGTCGGAGGAGATGGGGCCGCAACCGAGGATTCCCCAGCGGAGCCTGAATGCCGTATCCTCGAAAGGGGCATACGGAAAAGGGGCTTAGGGTTTGGGGCATGCGAAAAAGAGGCTTGGGGTTTGGGGTTTAGGGTTTAGGGCTTAGGATGTAGGGTTTAGGGTTTAGGGGCCTTAATAATTTGGAATAGGGTTCCTTTACAGGGGTTCGTTATAAGGGTTACTATGAGGGATACTACAAGGGCGCGTAGTGTAAGGGCCTTAATAATTAAAATAGAGTTTTGGGGTATGTTATATATACAATAGTTATAATCAGGAAAAGGAACCCCCAAAATAGTACAGGTAGTTGATGGGGTCCCTATATATCTAGAAGGATCAAGTATCCGAGAAAAACATGTCGACATTTGCTGGCTCTGCAGTGACCTATCCCTGTCCGAAAGAAAGGCAAGGGACGACTCCGAACCGAAAAAGAGGCTACGAGATCTGGAAGCCAGTCTAATCCTAACCCTAAACCCTAAACCTTAAACCCTAAACCATCTTGCCTCCGGCTTGGTCAGGCCGAGGCGGATGTCCAGCGGTGTCGCCATGCGGCGGTGGCGATCCCACCTGCTGCCACCTTCAGCAAATCTCGCTGCCACACAAGCATTTGCCGCAAAAAACTGACTATAATATATATATATATTATCATTTTAATATACTATAATATACTATGATATACTATACAATTCGCCAAAATATACTACAGCTTCCCGGCCATCGCAGTCGCAACTCGGGCCGCGCAGGGGAGGCCCAGGCTTGGCCCAGCTGGAGGCCAGGGCTGCCGCAGCTGTAGCCCGGACGGCTGGCCGCAGCACCGAGCGAAGGCGCCACATGGCAAAGGATCCGCCGAAAAAAATAGCGCTTTCAAAAGCGAACTGCTGAGAAAAAAAGAGGCCCCCTTTTTTTTATATCCTCCTCCTGTTGCCTCACCGTGCCAGGGTTGCTTGCAGAGTCTAAAATAGTCGAAGAGGCTGTTCACGTGTCTGGCAGGTTGAGAGGCCGGGCCCAAGCCAGCTGCAGTGTAGAAGTGTTTAGAGGAACCCGGTAGGAAAAACCCATGGAGAAGCCCAAATAAGGGGTTACCTTATTTGGGGGCCCTTACAACAAGGATCCTACTATTTAGAGTGCTATACTCGGCCAGCAGCCGTCCAGAATACCCTTCTAGTAGCCCTGTAACAGCCCCAACACCCCAAAGATCCGGATCCCGGCCTGGCGATGAGGGACTCATGCGTCATCGCGTAAGCTTCAGCTGGGAGCATCCGCTTCTCGGGAATCTGCGGTTTCACAGGGTTTGGGGCCAAGGGCTTAAGGGTTAAGGGTTTTAGGGCTTGGATAGGCAGGCTTTGAAACTCGTCAGCATGTTGCTGGTTGTCTGGCTGCCGCTAGGCCTTGTGCAAAAGGCCCTTCACGGCTTCGGCAACGTCTGCAGGCGTGTCTTGCGGCAGCTTGTTCGGCTCGTCCCTTACCTCAGCAAGGCTCAGCTCATCAAAAACGAATGCTTGTCGTTCCTGATGGATTCCTCCTTTTGCGAACCAGGACACAATCTTCATCCGCAGCGTGGTGTCGTCTCGAGCCTCGAAGGGGCGGCGCAGAGCAGCCACTTTGAAGGAGACCACCTCAAGCACAGCTGAGTGCAGTAGCTAAAGGGACGTGACAAGCATGTCGCATAAAGGGATCCGAAAGGACTGGTCCGCAGATGTGCAATGTCGATGGCAAGAAAGCTCTGCTCTTAACCCTCCCTGCAAGTTAAGCCCTCACAGCATATCGGCCATGCCACACCCAAACACCACGCATCTGCTGCAGGACTGTGGCATCCGCCACAGGCAATTTCCTGGGTCTGCCATCCCTCGAAAGCGGGGGGGTCTGGAAAAGAGAGCCTCTAAAACAACAACAGTAGGATTCTTCAAAGGCACTTCGCAAAAGACCCTAAACCCTACACCCTGGAGTTCTTAGGGGGGTTAAGTGAGAAGCTAGGGTTGAGGGTTTAGGTTTTAGGGTTGAGGGTTTAAGTTTAGGGTTAAGAGTTTTCGGTTTTAGGGTTTAGGGTTCAGGGCTTGGGGCTCTGTCTGGCGACTCCAATCAGCTTCGCCCACACTTCTGAACACCTTCACTCGAAGCCTGAGCCGCGCAAAGATGAACCCTGGAAAGTCGAGAGGTGCAGCTCATCGGGTCAGGGTTTAGGGCTTCCCCTTAAACCCTAAACCCTAAACCCCCTAAACCCTAACCAGATAAACCCCCTAAACCCCCTAAAACCCTAAACCCTAAACCCCCTAAAACCCCTAAACCCCCTAAAACCCTAAACCCCCTAAAACCCTAAACCCTAAACCCTAAAGCCCTGATACAGTCCCCCAGTTCTCGCAAGTGTGCAAGGCTTCTGCTCCGGGTTTGGAGGACATCAAAACGCCCCCCGGGGCCGCGAAACAGCAGTTGGATTACTGACTGGCTTTCATATTCCTGAATGTTCTATAGTATAATGCAATGTTAGATTATATTGTATTACAGCTTATATTATAATATAATACGTTATATTGTATGATTTTATACGAAATTATATTCAAGTCTGGTCCGGACTGGATGGGAAAAGCCAGGCTGGAAGAGAACGGACCAACTACATAGAACATCTGCTTGCGAAGAGCACCAACAGCTGCCAGGGTCGCCTAAAGGCCTTTTAGGGTCTAGGGTTTAGGGTTTTCGGCTTAGGGTTCAGGGCTTTTTTTCTGCACAGGTGGACATGCTACACCTTCGACACTGGACGTGGGATTGAGTGCCAACAGCCCAAGTCCACCCAAGTCGCCGGCGGCAGGTAGCTGGGAGTGCCTGCAATGTCGGCTGACAGAGCTGAACTTCCAAGACTCTGCGACCCGGTTCCGCAGATCTACTCCTAGGAGTACCACGCCCAAATAGACTGGCTTCACCTGGTTCCACCAAAACCCCCCAAGTCCTATGAGGCCCATGAGTCCCATGCCCCATGGTTCCCGCCTAGCGCTTCCTTGGTCTCCTGCTCCCCTTGGCTGCCGATGGCGCATGCTAGGCCGAAGTCGGCGAGGACGATGCGCTCCTGCCGCCGCCCGCAATTGCAGCGCGGCTAAGAACAGAACAGATAACACCTGAGACCGGCACGGCGCTTCGGGAGAGAAGGATGTTGGCGCATTTCACGTCGCGATGAAGAAAGCCTCGCCCGATCACCGCACGATTTAAGACCGCGCATGCAGCTGAGTGGATTTCACGCTAGCTGGCTAGACACTTCCGGTACCTCACCTGAAGCCTTCAGAGCAGAATCTTGGAGTCACGACTCATGCCATAACTATACTATACAATACTCTACCATAATATACCATAATATACTATCATATACTATCATATACTTTAATATACCATCACTGGCCTTGGTCGTGCACGAAACTCAAGGCGCTGCCGATGGCCGAGATCACCTCCACAGCCGAGGTGGTGAAGAGCAGCACTTTGGAAACTTGGCTTTGAGTGATGTATACTATCATGTTACATTCTATGATATGATATATTATGATATGATCTGCTATGATGTGATACAATCCTACATGGTATAAAACTATATTATATTAGCCTGTACCGTATGATTTTATACTGCAAAATGCTGCTCTATATATATATATATATATATTTATTTATTTACATATTACATACTACCTTATTCCGTTCTACTTGAAGATATCCCTTTTGTTTATACTAGATTCTGTTTCAACAGCACCATCCCGGGCTCAGGAAGGCCGTTCACTCTCTCCTGCTCCCTGTCGCACCCTGCGGACGAAGCTGGCATCGAAGGGTCCAGCCAGGGTGCGGCGCCGCTGCTCGAAGAGGCTGTGCAAGTCCCCTGAGAGCCGAGCGCAAAGTTCAGCTCCGAGACTGCAGCCCGGCAGGCCTATGACACAACATAACATAATACAAGATGAGAGAATGTGATATATTATAAGATAGTATAATATAGTACGATACAACATAATATAAGATCCTATGAGATAGAATAACATCATATAAGCTGGTAATATAAGACAATATAAGATCATATAAGATGCCGAAGCACAAGATCCCTCATGGACCCTAGCCCTTCTAGGCTGGAGATCCATTTCGGCCCAGCTGCCGCCGTCCATCAAGTCCAACACCATCCACCTTAGATCTCACACTTCGAGCAAGTGAGCCGGTTTAGGGTTTAGGGCTTAGGGTTTAGGGTTTTGGGTTCCTAAACCCTCTCTAGACCTTGGTACTGCAAGGCCGCTCAACCAAGCCAAGGAACACGCTGCTGTTTTCGCCTTCAGCACTGGCTGGCTTAGGCAATCGCACAGAGGTGTCTAGCGACACAAGCTTGAAAATGACAGCCAGTCGGTCTGATATGATATGGGTAGGTCTCTAAACCAGGGTCCCTTTTTGGGGGCCTTAATATATTACGGCACCTAATATTTAGGGTACCCAAAAAAGGGACCATAATTTTGACAACCACCCATATCGCCACTAGTGAAGATCCTGTGCGATATGCTTGCACCGCGCCTTGTCCGTCATAGAACCACTCGTAACAGCCTGAGTAATTGTCAGGTCCATGTTGGCAGATCTTTCCAAAGTTTTAACCCCTAAACCCTAAACCCTAAACCCTACACCCCAAACCCTAAACTTATTTCCTCTCTAAGCAGCGCAGGATGTGTTCGTGCTGCCATTGGGCGAGCAAAGAGGCCTCCATCTCGGCCTGGTTCAGAGCCGCACTTTGGGGCTTTAGCTTCTTGGGAACGGTGATCCGGTGATGTTTAGGGTTTAGGGTTTAGGGTTTAGGGTTTAGGGCCCTAGCCCGTACTTGAGCTCAGATGTTGCCGGGTGGGAGAACCCCGTGTCGCAACCCCAAACAGGGAGAAGAGAATGCACCCGGCCCGGCGGCTGCGTCAGGAGCGATGTAAGACGTGCAGAGATGTCGGTATATACTCGTATGTTATCGTGTATTGGAGTGTATTATAGTATATGATCGCATATTTTAGTGTAGTATAGTATGTTGCTGCAGCTTTGCTGATCCTTTCGACCGCGCCTCTTTCGCAGCCTCCACCCGCCTGCCGGGGCGCCAATGCTCGACATCTCTCAACGATGTTCACTCCGAAACGCTGAACCCTAAACCCGATGCCCTGCGCCACATCACATACTATCAAAAACGAAAATCTGCGATCATATACTATGATATACCATAGCACACTAGGACATGCTACCTACGTACAATCGACTATTATGCAACATCATATACACTGATACAATATAATACCCTAAACCCTAGACCCTAAACCCTAAACCCTAACCGCACCAAAAAAAAAAAGAAAGCGTCAGCGCTGCCCCGCTTGACCTCTGAGGCTCCGGCTTGCAAGGCACTGCTTTCAGTGCCCGTCGCAAGCCTGGAGAGCTCAAGTCCTGAGAACCCCTTGCGGGGCATTAAGGGGTGTTTGGGGTTTTAGGGGTTTAGGGCTTAGGGTTTAGGGTTTCGGGGTCATTAAGCGGTGTTTGGGGGTTTTGGGGGTTTAGGGTTTAGAGTTTAGAGTTTAGGGGTTAAGGGGTTTAGGGTTTAGGGGTCATTAAGGGGTTTAGGGTTTTGGGGGCAAGGAGGACCGCAGATCCTTCCTCTCAATTCTGATGGCCTCTGAAACCCGATTTTTAGATGCTCAACTGCACCCATCCTCCTTCGAAAAATCCAGACGCTAAACAAAACCCCAAACCCCAAATCCTAAACTCACTACGCACACCCTCAACCCCAAGCCCTAAACCGAAAGACGTTTGTCAGCGTCCTCGCCCACGTAGATTTTGCCTCAGCCCCGCGGATCCACGTACTGCGGAGGAGCCAACCGGACACGCAGACTCCAAAATCCCTCAGTTAAGGTATATGCTTCAGATCATTGTGAAAAGAAAAGCGAGGTGAATCATTAGGAGTGAGTAGCAATCATAAGAATACTAAAGATAAGGCGGCTATATAAAAACTGAAATTACGTAATCTTTATTCTTACCCAATTCTAATAGTACTAATATTACTAACAATGCTAACTTTCCCTGCCAAGCCAGGTGTTTACACTTCGAACGACGCTTACGGGGCAATCCATCTCAGCTGTGGTTTGCAGTGAAACGCGGTCGTTTATGTGTCGAGCTGCGAAGGGAAGCAGAGAGAATCCTAAACCCCACTTGAGTAACCACGCGGTCTGTGGGTGCGCCCCTGTTCCTATTGTAAAAGGCGCACCCACCGCGCACACACACACACACACTGTATACACTCGCTAAACCCTAAACCCTAAACTCTAAACCCTAAACCCTAAACCCTAAAACCCCTAACCACCCTAAACCCTAAACCCTAAACCCTAAAACCCCTAACCGGCCCTAACCCTCAACGAGTGCCCGGGGAAGCGACCGAAGCTGCCATGGCCCAAGGGCTCCGAGGCTTCGAAGGCCGCCGAGCTCTCGCCGGCGCGGCAGAGCCTGGACTTTTGAGTTTAGGGTTTAGGGTTTAGGGTTCAGGGTTTAGGGTTTAGGGTTCAGGGTTTAGGGGTTTAGGGGTTTAGGGGTTTTGGGGGTTTAGGGTTTAGGGTTTAGGGTTTGGGGGGTTCCTTTA